CGGTTTTACTTATAATGTTCATTAGAGTAAACTGGATTTGATTGATGATGGTGGAAATGCTTGAACTTGATTGCTTGCTTGAGTAGATAGAGTCGTTAATTACTTGTTGATCTCGGTTAGACGATTAGGGTTAGCAATCTAATGCTCGTAGCTCGTTTATTCCGTATGTCGATTGATTATCATACTGTTATGGTTATGGCATGAGACTCCGGTAATCTAGTTTGCTAAATGCTCGCGATTTGATCTTGCTTTCAATTAATTGCTCATTTTTAAGTGCTCAATTAGTGTTAATCAATCATCCAATCAATTGCTTAGAATGTTTAGGATTTTATTTTCCCTTTTTGTGATTTGGACGATCATTTAGTAGACAAAGCTCCGAATAGCCTTCCTTCAATATCGACCCGAGTCGGGTAGCTCGGTTATCCCTTGCCCATCAAATCTTTACTAAACACCAGGAGATGAGATGGAAAGTGGGGGCATGGGCCTTCATCGTGCGGCCCAGGAGATAGTAGCCCAGACAGAGGCACTACTTGTGAAAACCTTATGTAGATGAAGAAGCTTTAGCTTCTCACGTACCTAGCTCGGTATGACGGATGTCATCCCTTCTTCCTGCTTTTTATTTTTTATGAATATTATATCGTGGAATGTACAAGGAGCAACTTCGGCATAATTTTTCTGAAGTTTCTCTACGATTAAAAATCATTACAACCCGGATGTGTTTGTTATGCTGAAGCCTCGTATTAGTGGAAGAAAGGCTGACACTTTCATAAAAAAGAGCGGATTTAGTCGGTCATTCCGTGTCGAGGCGATTGGTTTCTCTGGTGGAATTTGGATTCTATGGAAGAAGAGTGCATCTTTCCATTCTGAGATGCCACCGTCAATTTATCCATGCTCGGATTTCTACATATGGCATGGACTTCAACATCACCTTTGCTTATGCAGGCCCGAATCCTAGGACACGTCGGACTTTGTGGCAGGATCTTGAAGCCCTAGCTACAGATACTCACGACTCTTGGCATATCAAAGGTGACATTAATTGCATTATCCGGCCAATAGAGCGTATGGGGGGAGCTCGACGACGCTATACTACCAGTCCGGACTTTTTGTCATGGATATTTAATAATATCCTAGAAGAACTTTGAACAAATGGCATGTTATATACGTGGGAACAAGGTGATTTGAAACAGATACTTGGTCGGTTTGTGGCCAACTCGGCTTGGATAAATTATTACCCAGAGGGCTTCGTCCAGCACCTACCACGAAACAACTCAGACCATTTTCCTCTCTGTCTCCGGATCTCTACCAGAAATTATTCTTCCCGAGTTCACAAGCCTTTTAAATTTATGGCGGCTTGGCTCCTCCACGACGCGTTTTCTGAATTAGTGAAGAATGCTTGGTCAGGGGAGGATTATGGTAGCGGTTAAAAGGTTTCAGGAACAGACGAGTCATTGAAACACCCATGTCTAGGAAATATTTTCCAACAGAAAGAACGACTCCTACGGCTTATTTCTGTTGTCCAAAGAGAGCTACAAAAGTATTCTACCACTCAGCTACTAGCCATGGACGCCGACTTACGCAAGGAACTCAACGAGGTCTCTTTGCAAGAAGAATTATTAGTTCTTCAGAAATATCAGAGGGACTGGACGTTATTTGGGGACAGGAACACTTCTTACTATCACAGAGCTGTCAAACAACGCTGCTACCGTACTCGGATAACTTTTCTGCGAGATGGGGAGGGGAACATTGTGGAGGACCTTGACTTATAAAATATATGGCTCTCGACTTTTTTCGAGGTATCTACACGCATTCTGACCCGGTTCAGTTGGGCCCAGGGATGGCGAATTTATTCCCTTGTCGTGATTATCATTTATTCGAAAGTCTGGGTCGGGATTTGACTAACTCATAAATTTTTCTCGCCCTCAGGGAGATGAAGCCGTTGAAAGCTCATGGGCCCGATGGACTCCATATCATGTTTTTTCAGCGTAAGTGGGAAACGCTGGACTGGTGGTGTGTGATATGATCTGAAATTCTTTAAAGAGTGGAAGCCTCCCATCGGACCTAAACAAAGCGCTAGATGTTCTCATTCCGAAGGTTGCGAATCGAGAATCCATTAAGCAGTTTCGGCCTATTAGTCTCCTGAACGTGGCTTACAAGTTGATCACGAAGGTATTGGTGAATCGTATGAAACCAGTACTCCCTTGGCTTATTGGTCTGCACCAACCTAGCTTTGTCCATGGTCGTCACATCACCGATAACATCATGTGGCCCAGGAGTTGATTCACTCGATGCGAACCAAGATGGGTAGGAAAGGTTTCATGGTCATTCGAGTTGATTTGGAAAAGCATATGACTTCCTACGGTGGGATTTTGTGGATGAAACCCTTCGAGCGGCTTGCTTCCCGGTCACGTTCGTTCGACAGGTTATGGCTTGTGTCCACTCGTCGACCATGCAGTTGTGCTTTAACGGTGAAGCATGTGACGAATTTTGTCCCACCCATGGAGTGCGACAAGGTGACCCGATCTCACTCTATTTATTTATGTTATGTATTGGATGACTAGCCCATTTACTAGTCCATTTAATCCATAGTCATGTTGAGACCGGGACTTGGCGGCCGATAAAGGTTAGTGGGGACGTAGTCCACGTTCCCCTGCTCATGTTTGCCGATGACCTCCTCTTGTTCCTTGAAGCTGTCGAAGATCAAGCTTCTTTGGTCAACTCGATACTTTCAGTTTTTTTCTCTATGTCTGGCTTTAAGATTAGCCAAGACAAAACATACATTTTTTTTTTCTCAAAGAATGTCACAGTCGAGCTTCGACAAGCCCTAGCTAGCACTATGGGGTTTTCTGTTACCACTACCCTCGGGAAGTACCTCGGTGTACCGGTCTTGCACAGCCGAGTTACCAATCACACTTACGCGAATATCCTTGATAAGGCGGATGCGAGGCTAGCCGACTGGAAGGCCGATACGTTATCTCTTGCGGGTCACCCCATTCTTACGGAATCAGTGGTCAGTTCCTTGTTGTCCTACACAATGCAAACATCTTGGCTACCCAATGCGATATGCGACAGACTAGAAAAACGATGCCGTAATTTTTTGTGGGGGGACAATAGCATCAACAGAAAGATTCATCTGGTGTCCTGGGACAAGGTGTGTCAACCCAAAGGCAGAAGCAATATCGGCATTAAAAGACAACGTGAGATGAACATTGTCCTTCTAACGAAACTCAGTTGGTCCATGCTCACTAAACCAACGTCTCTATGGGTCCGACTTCTGCTAGCTAAACACAAACTGACTCCTGATTTGATGATGGCGGACTACGTGTTTCCCAAGGGTTCAACCTTCCTTCGCGCTATGAGCAGGGTGTGGAAGTTTGTGAGATCAGGAGTGCGGTGGTCTGTCGGGGATGGAACAACTGCTTGTTTTTGGCGTGATAATTGGACAAACAACCCACAGCCCCTTCTTCGCGACATGTTGGGTCCTGTTCTGATCTCTCAACTGGATTGGACAGTTAGCGATTATGTTACCACCTCGGGCCAATGGTGATGGGACCTTTTTAGCCATGTGGTGCCGACCAGTATCTTGTTGCGTATAGCGGCTATCCCGCCACCATCACGTCTAACCAAGCCCGACACTATGTATTGGGGTTTTTCGAAGAACGAGTGTTTCACCATGAAATCGGCATACTTGTCGTTGGTTAACACCCATCCGATAAATGACCGACTATTATGGCGAGTTATATGAAAATGGGTAGGCCCTCAGCGGATCCGCCAATTTCTTTAGCTTGTTGCTCAAGAGAAGCTCTTAACTAACATTGAAAGGCGACGATGACATCTCACTGGGGCGTCTATGTGCTCT